AAAGGCTCCAATTTTGCCTAGAAATTGGCAGGCTTGAACATATATTTTATCGAATAAATAACTTGACCTTTACAAAACAAATCAACATTGCCTCTTTCGCCTGACCTCATATACCTCAGAACTGTATTAATTTGTACGTCTCTAGGAACTTTAGCATATCATATTAGTCCTGTCTATCTAAAGTTCTCCCTGCTACTAGTTCTCTGTCTTTATCTTTCTTCTGAGGTAGAAACGATATAAGACAATATTAAGAACTATAGTGCAAATTCTATCTCAGAACTTACTAATAACCAAATTTAAGAGATTATTAATTATAGTTCAGAGAGTCAAATCTCTTATTCTCCTTCACTTGAAATCATACCTGAAGTTTCTTCTGTAGATAATACTGTATAATTAAAATTTCCAAGATGGCTCGTCTTGAAAAGGCTTTATTGGAAACTGAGATAAATGTATCATTTGCATCATGATTCAAAAAAGATTTATCAAAAGCAGAGGTAAATATGTTATTCAAATCTCAAACTGAATCAAAGATCTTATCTGAAAAATAGAATAATCTAATTTATAACCTTGTTTATTTCCGCAACAAAATATTGAAGCAATATTCTGATCTATATTATGAATTCAGTAGTGAAAATGTTGATTATTATGAAATTACTGCTGAGATATTATGTTCTTTATACAAGTTAGATCATGATGATAAGAAAGACATAGAAGGTAAATACGAAACTGGATCATACTATATTAAATGTAAGCAATGTGAAATTCAAATTATTGTATAAACTTTAAATGCAAAATAGTTCTATCATTTTGTTATGCTTTATAACTCATTAGTACACAATAAGAATGAAATGAAATAATATTTTTTAATACGTAATACTCAATACAAGAAATTAAATTGCTTTGAAATTATATAAATAGCAACATTAATACATAAGCCAAGTCTAATAAGGTACTACTAACCCCCAAATATCTGGATTGATATTTCAAATTACACTGACTCAAAAAATTGTATCAATATATCGAATTTTTTTATGGTTTTGCTTACAGTTTTAAAATTATTGATTTTAAATAAAAACAAACATTACTATTAATTAACATGCAATTTAGCTATTCAAACAGAATTATTTGCAAATATATTTATTATAATTAGTATTATGCAATATATATTCAAAGTAAGTGAATACATTAATACAATTTTTTTGCTAAAATTATTTTTTGTGGCATACTATAAATTAATTCTCTACACTTTTCTAAAGGTATTTTATTCCATTTATCTTTTATTTTTTTCTAAAGTTTATTTATACTATTAGATACATCTTTATAATTCAAAAGCTTTTTTTTTAAATAATCCCATAGATGTTCTATGAGATAAAGATCTGGAGAATATGGAGACCAATCTAAAACTTGAATTTTTTTATCTTCAAGCCATTTAATAATACATTTTGCTATATTTTTTGAATCATTATCGAGTTGAAAGATGATTTTTTTTTGTCTAAATGATACCATTCTATAGTTTTCAAGAAATATTCCTCAAGAATTTCAACATATATTTCAGCATTTATTTTAGCTTTAATAGAACACATGTAACCAATTCCTTGTGTTGAAATACATCTCCAAATTATTATAGATCCTTTATCATACTTTATAGTTGGAATAATATAATTAGATTGAAGTAAAGATTTTGATTTTTTTCAGCACCATTTACATTTATCAGATTCAAATTGATTAACTTTAGTCTTATCTGAGAAAATAACATGCCTCTAGTTATTAATAGTCCAATCCTCATATTGTTTTGTAAATTTTCATCACTGATTCATATGCTTTGTATTAAGAAAAGGTTTTTTTTTTCTTGACAGCAGATTTTAAGCCATTTCTTTTTAATATATTTCGAACTGTTTATGTTGATACATTAATACCTTAATGATTTTTTAGATTTTTTTGAACTTTTACAACTGTATCAACACATCCAAAAGTAATAGATTGTATAATAGGATGTTTCTGATATTGATTTAAAGAATGAGGATGCCCAGCTTTTGGTTTTTGAATATTAGAACAAGTGTTCTTACGAATTCTTGATACAGTACTATGACTAATTTTAAGTCTAATAGCAATTTTTCTTGTAGATAAACCATTATGAATTAAAGAAATACTATCTGTATATTTTTGTTTTGATAAAGGTTTTATTAGAAAAAAAATGACATAAAATAGTATAAACAATTGTAGATTAAGCTTATTTATATAGTTTTTGTAAATTTGTATTATTACATATTAATTAATTAAAATTGTTGACACATTATAAAAAGCAAAAAATTTGTATCAATATATTTGTTCACTTTGATTATATAGTATGCATTTAACTCATGATATATATACATAACATCCATATTAATTAATTAATTAAACAATAAACTATTTTATATTGATACTCATTTTTATTTAATACTGATTAGATAAAAAATTATAAACAACAAATGAAAAAAAATCAATACATTGATACAATTTTTGAGTCAGTGTAACTGATTTACCAACTACTATATCTGATAAACTTCGTTCCAAGTTATATAAAATATATAAGAAAAAAACAGGACTCGATTCCTGGATAAAGTTTGAAACTTCTGAATCCCTACAAATCAAAAAGAATGACAGCAATCATCTTCACAAGACTGTATCATTAATATTTCCAACTTTCCGGAAGAGAAAGATGTGGTTATTGAAGCAGTACAGAGATGATTTCCGAATGCATGGTATCGAGATGTTTTAAATATATGGATCCAGAAGCTAAATGTCCAATATGCAATGAATTACGTTTGGGTATGTGTGAGCTGTTTAGGAAAAAATGATCACTATTTTCTTAATTGTCCTTTTCACATTGATCAAAAGAAAGTTATTATTGTTATACAGAATTTTCCGGAAAGTGTGTCGAACAAACCTCGAGAAACAGAACCTCGCTCATCAACTCATCCAACCAAAAATCGCCTTTATCAGTATGCCATCGAACATGGAATAGATCCCAAGAGATTTTCAGTTATTACAGAGGCTGAGAAAAAAATATGGAGCATGGAATGCTTCTGTGGTAATTTGGAGAGAGATATATGATTCTATTGTGGAGGAATAAAAAGGAATGAAGATGCCAGAAAATATCATAAATTTTAACAGATCGGGATATGCTGGTTGGTGAAGAGTTATCGCGTCGTGGTATACTAAAAAGTGGTTTAAGTACTGCATGGGAAGTATACATGTTATTTGTACAACCTAATTATACTAGAAATGCGTTGATTTGTTATCCTTCGTTGATAATGAATTTTACTTGGACTGGACGATCTTAAATGGTAGGTCATTAAACCCGATTTGTCATTACGTCCGGGGTACACATCGTGTCTAATTTTCCTTTTACGTTCTTTATAATATAGATGTAATGAAGGTGCGATGGAGGTGCGATGAAGTCACGATAAACTTTTTTCCTATATAATTATGTGAAAAAGATCCGAGGTTGAGTCGTGTTTGAGTTGAGTTAAAATTTTTCATGTTAAAAAGAATAAAATAAGATGACCACGTGATGGTAGAATTTCGTATTAATAAAATTATGAGTCAATCACAAATAAACGTTCTTTCATTACTTTTTTTTAATCGCTGAAGCTATGTTATTTAACGTTGCAGGTTCCTCCGCCAGTGTTCCTGTTATTCCTTCATCTGATCTTCCGACGGTTGAGGAAGTGAGAGGATTTAATGCCGAAGAACTTAATGGCTTTTTGAAAAGGAGGTTAAACGGTATCGATAATTACATAGATACCTTAACTGCTCAAGAAGTTGATGGTTCAACATTCCTTGATTTTACCGCGACAGACTTTGAAAGATGGGGAATACCAGGCGGTCCATCTAAAAGAATCGTAAAGTTAATTAAAAACGTACAAGGGGGTAAACGAACTTATTCTTGCCCAAACCGTGTCAATATTCGCCAATAATACCGAATGCTTATTTATTCTTGCGCTTTTCTTTCTGCTTCTTATTGTCAAACCCGCCCAAAAACACATTTACATTATCGTAGATCAACCCGTTGCTGGTAAGCGAGTCGTAATAAAATAGTCAGCGCGAATGAATGTATTATGGCTTAACTTTTTGATTTGTTGTTATATTTCTGTCTTTGAAAATCTAACCAATACTTTATTTCACTTTCAGGCAAATAATAATATTTCTGAAATTATTTAAAAATGTTGATTATATATTAACGCTTCGTTTATCTTACAGAATTAAAGAGACATATTGATGAAATTGCTGATAAAATTAATCGTGAATTGAAGAGTGAATTGAATCGTGAATTTAAGAAGATACGTTTTGCTGCGGATGCATGGTACAGTACTATAGGTATGTTATTCGCCTAGTTTTTCAACTATTTCTGGAAATGTCATTAACAATTTGTGTTTAGGTACTCTTACAAAAACCGAAAAGGGTAAATTTGTGAAAGAAAGAGGTGTTGAAATTCTGTTTCCGCTTGGTTTGACCGAAAGTTTCATATCAAAGTCACCTGGAAAGTTTTTACAACCGCCTAATATGGACAAGAACGCAAATCCAAAAGAAGAAAAAGTACAAGATTACTTTATGAATGAATGCAAGGCACTAGAAAATTATGCAAACATACAAAACAAACTTATTGTCAGAGACACACATTTTTCACCATTG